ACAAGATCTCACATAGCCCAGGCTGGCCTCAAACCTGCTGCATAGCAGAGGCTAGCCTTGAACTCCACCTTCACCTCCTGAGTGCTAGGATTACAGGTGTGCAGCACCACACCCACTTTCATGTGGTGCTAGAGTTGAACTCAGGATTTTGTGCATTCCAGGCTAGTCTACCAACTAAAACCAAGCTCCACTCACTCAGAAAGTATCTTCTCTAGAATCTTTAAGAATGCTATGAAGTAGAGTCGAATACAAAATCATTTACAAACTATTCAAAGAAATTGTAAAACTGACAATATTAATTCTGAGTTTATATTTGTCAAATAAATGAGCATCACTCTTCTATACTTAGCCCTGATCCTGGGTGTGGGCAAACAAACCTTCAAATGACTGCGGCTGCTCCTTTCTGGGCTTCGTGGGTCCAACAGGCTGAGGGGAGAGGGACCGAGAAGAGGGCTGGGAAGGGCTTTCAGCTAAGACCTCTGCTGGGAAAACCACTGTCACATGTTGGTTCTAGGCAATAATTCAGCAACCAGGCTTTTTGTTGCTAGAACTGCTTGGGGCATTCTTAAACCTGGGCGAAAAGGTTCTGGAGTGACGGCTCAGTGAAGAGTCTAGAATACTTCAGAAGGGTCTGCTGGTGGTCCACGCCAGAGGGCAGATCAGGCAATCAGAAGAATGGAGAGGGGATATCCCAGATTCCCAGATTTTCTCATACCTGATATGAATCTCTCTCAATCTCTCTCTCTCTCCCTCTCTCTCTCTCTCTCTCTCTCTCTCTCCTCTCCACTTCCTCCCCTTCCCTCCCTCTGTGGAATTAGCAGGAAAACAACCTAGAAAGGAATGGCTGTGGGCTGAGTTCCCAAACAGGAAGAAAAGCAAGACATCTCTGATTCCCCTGAAGAACCCTGGTCTCATCTTCATGTGGAACTCTAGGAGACTCAACCAAGAGCCCTCTTTCCCCTCACTAGTCAAGCCTAATGCCATGGGCTGTTCAAATGCAGACAGGACAAGTTGGTAAGTGAGCTCCACAGAAAGGATGCCCACCTCCCGCATTTTAATCCAGATCTACTGGTCTAGTTTAACACACCCCAGCCAGAGATCACCATCCACGTCCCTGCAGATAAAGTCAGAGATGAAAGCTGTCTTGGTGCCTGCCATGATTCTGAGCTGGGAGGGGATCTGGGTCGCTCTGCCCCCACCGCCTCTCTGAAGATGTGAGATTCAGGTACAGGAAAGGAACCCTCAACTGACAAGCTGCTGAACCGCCCACGGGGTTCCTGGGGAAAGCCTTCCAACGCTAAGAAGCCCTGCGGTGGTCACCATGGAGGCCACCTTTCCAACAGCTACAGACTGGGCAGCCAAGGGAACCCCGACTGCTCCTGGCCCTTTGACCCCTTCCTCCTGCTCGGTACTGGGGGAGACACACACAGTGCCAACTGCTTTCCTCAGATCTCAGGCTTTCTCAGCACCGACCCACTTTCTGTCAGAGGGGTTCCAAGGGTCAGTGTCTGGGTGGTCCCCAATCCTGTTCATATACAGCAGAGAGGGCAGTTCTGGGGACTCTTTTACCAGC